TGAAGATAGTTTATAAAACAATAAAAAGATCAAAATATCAAAAAAATCCTTTTTTTTCAATACCGGAATTTTTAAAAATATTTTCATCTTTAATTTTCTCGACAAAATATTTTAAATTTTTAATACGAAAGCGAAAATAAATTTAAAATATAAAATTTTCAATTAAAAAATTAAAAAGAAAATTTAATGAAACGAAATGAAAAAGGACACAAAAATCTAGATTCATTACATTATCGATTAAAGTAATAACTGGACTCTATATTTTCACTGAATTTCCATGCTTTTGATTCCAAGAATATAATATCGTTTAATTATTAAAATAGTGTATTTGAAGAATAACGATCAATTATAATTTATTATTCTAAAATTATGAAAGGAAATTGAATTCTAAAATTAAATAAGTATATAATGTAATTTCGGAGATAATATATAAAGTAATTAAAATTCAAAATTGAAATTAATATTAAACTGTATTTCCCTTATTAGGAAATGAAACTCAATTTTAGTTTCGAAAAAAATTATTTTTTTCTTTTTCATATTAGAATAGAAATTGATTTTCTAAATACAGGTCATGTTACCTATATAAACATGTTTTATGTATATCAGATTCTTAAAAGGGCTAAAAGCAATTCAGCAAGTTTCGATTAACAAGTCCTGCAAATTTCATGTAAATGTGTGAAGTTTAACGGGACTAAAGGTGTATATATATACAGTGAACAGAAAACGAGTCTCGATATAACATAAACAGTTTGGGTTCGCCAAGTTCTCTTTAAATACAAAATTTAAATATAAAATTGAGTGTATACATATAGATATTGTATACAACTGTATATGTCAAGTGAAATTTATCTCAAAAAAATTGTAGATTAAATATTAAACGTTGTTTTAGTATTGAAAATTCTTATTTCAAGTAGCGCTGTTCTTTATTCGCCAATGAGGAAAAAAAAAATTCACTAATTCTTTCTAGAATGCATTTTTTTTCTTTTCAGAATTTCTTTTTGTTGAAATGATAATGAAAACCTTTAAGGAAAAAATATGGTGTTTATTTTATTATTTTACATAAATAATTTTTTTATTTATTAAATGATTTGAATTTTTTAAATCATATCAGTAGAAATAATCTTTATTGGTCAGACTATTTTCTTCCTAAACACGAAAAACTTTTCACAGTAGAAATAACCGTCGTTGGTCAGACGGTTTTTCATCAAAAAACTATAACATTTTTTCAGTAGAATTATTCGTTATTAGTCAGACGATTTTTCATCCCAACACGAAAAAATTCTATCAGTAGAAATTACCGTTATTGATAAGACTTTTTTTTCTCAAACACAAAAAAATTCTGAGTAGAAATAACCGTTATTAGTCAGACGGTAATTCATCGAATTTTTTCAGTAGAAATAACTGTCATTTGTCAGACTTTTTTCCCGAAAACGAAAAAATCTTTACAGTAGAAACACGGCCATCATTGGTCAGACTGGTTTTCCCAAACACAGTGAAAAAAAAATTTTAGTAGAAATAACCGTTATTAGTCAGACTATTTTTCACTTAAAAGTACAACAATTTTTAGTAGAAATAACGGTTATTGGTCAGACGAGAAATTTAGAGTAAAAACAGTTTTTTGATAGGCAAATACTATTATAATTGTATAATAATTTATGACGAATTGCCACATTATTTTTAAGTAGAATTTACCGTTTCTAGTCAGACGATTTTTCCCCAGAAGTGGAAAAAAAATATTTTCTGCAGAAATCACTATTTAGTAAGACGTTTTTCTTCTCAAAATCTACAAATATTCACAGTAGAAATATCAAATTTTAGTCATACAAATATTAGGAATTTCTTTTTAGAAATAATTAATTTTTCAAAAAGGTTTTAAATTAAAATCTTCGAAAGACTGTATTTTTAATACATTTAATTAACAATTATTTACAACAACATTTTTTTGAAAAATTCTTATTCAAAGTTCTTTGAAATTATTTGAATTTTTTATATTTTTAATGCAAATTCAATTAAAGAATTTCCGAATAAACGAAATTTGAGAAAATTGAATTGTAAACAAGTGTATTTTAAAATTAATTAACGTAAACTTTCTGTATTCTCCGAATAATTGGATTCTTAAAGAACTTTATTGAAATTTTTTTTTTAAATAATTGATTTTTAGAAGAAGTTTTGTTAAAAATTCCAGAAAATTGAATTGCAATCATGGAAATAATTTTAATGAAGTTCAGTAACATTATTTAAAAATGTTATCAAATTTCAAAAGGTTTAGCAAATAAAAGTATTAGAACATTTTTTTTCATTATCTAAACTTTCTTAGAGTGAATCAGAATATTCTTCAGGGTCAGGGAAAAATAAAATAAAATTTTAGTGGCAAACGAAACTTTAATTTCCATAGTTAATTAATATAATTTAATTTCCCAGCTAAAAATATGTTCAAAAATTAAAAAAAAATTTCATCAAAATTTCATTCATCTTTATAAATAATAAAATAATTCTTCTCCAAAAATCAATTATTTTCAAAAATTTTAATACAATTCTTTGAAAAATTTCAATTATTTTCAAAAATTTTCCTCAATTTAATGATTTTCAATATTTATCATTTTCATTAAATAATAAAAATTTTTACAGAAATTAAATTATTTAGAAATTTTTTATAAATTTCTTCGCAATATAATTCAGTTATTTTTATAAATAATAACATTTTTACAGGGATTCAATTATTTTTCTAAATAATAAAATTCTTTTTAGAAATTTAATTATTTTCATAAATAGTAAAATAATTCTTAGGAATTCAATTATTTTCATAAATAATAAAACTCAATGCAGAATTTTAATTATTTTAAATACAATTTTAATCGAATTTTCTTGGAAAATGTAATTATTCTTAAAAATGTTATTAAAAATCGTTAAAAGAATTCAATTATTTAAAAATATGTTGGTAAAATTCTTTATGAGAATTTTGAATTTATAAGTTTTAAAAACATTCAATTGTTCAATAAATTATTTAATTTTGTATTAAAATAATTGAATTCTAGTAGAATTTTCTAATAAAAATTGATATAAAAATGAATATTAAAAACTATATATGTAGCTTGAATTTTTAGAAATAATTGAATTTTGAAATTAATTTTTTTGAAAAAGTGTAATTGAATTTTTTTTTTATCTTCTTTGCAGCTTTTATTTTCTAATATATATTTAATTGAAAAAGTTACGAATAATTGAAATTTGTAAAATAGAATATTGTAAATAAATGGATTTTAAAAATTGTCGAATAACTTTTTCGAAAATTAATTGATTTAAAGAAAAATTTCAGTGAAAAAAATTCTTAAAAATAATAATTGAATTGAAATAAAGAAATTAATTTTGAAGAAGTACAATATTTTTATAATATAAAATAATGATTTTATCAATTTGCCATCTATAATTACTATAAAACATGAAGAAATCGATTACTCCGAGTCGAAGACTCGGAGTGATTGATATCTTCATGTTTTATATTTATTACAATATAAATTTATGTTTATATTCATCTTTTTTAACTGTATTTTAAAAAATTAAAGTATATTATAAATTATTCTAAATATAAAATAATAGAAAATAATTTTTAATTTCCAATTAAAAATCCGAAAGTTCTAATTTAATTAAACAGAAAATTTTCTTCTTCATATCGAATAATTTAAATAATACCAAATTCTCTTCAAAAATTAAAACAAATTTTTTTTACCCTCCAGAAAAAAATCATAATTTGCCAAAAATATTTATAAAAAATGAATATAATATTAAAATAACATTCAAGTCATAATGTTTTTCATCCTCTCGAAAAAAAATCATAAGTTGCAAAATATTTATAGAAAACGAAAATAATATTAAAATAACTTTCAAATTATAATGTTTTTCATCCTCTCGAAAAAAAAATCATAATTTGTAAAATATTTATAGAAAACGAATATTTAATGTTAAAATAACTTGAATCAATAGTTTGAAGTTATGAAACAAATTTTTTTCATCCTCCCAAAAAAAATCTTGCAAAATATTTATAGAAAACGAATATATAATGTTAAAATAACTTGAATCAATAGTTTCCAAGTTATTTTAATATTATATTCAGAGTAATCTCAACGGTGCATTTTTAAATCAATAAATAAGATTTCTAAGTAACTTATATACATCTTTATATACATATACACGTAAAATATAAAAAATAATTGGTTTTGAAAGGCATATGAAAAGACAGGTTGTAAAGTTTTTGTTATCGCAATAGCGGAAGTTGTTTTAGACATTCTCAGTTATTATCAACCCAGAGCGCGATTTGTTGATAATCGATTTGACTCAATGAGACCGATAAGGCAAAAGTGCAGACGATAACATGTTGCCCAGCATCATTCTCCCTTACCCATGCAGATAGCTCGTTGCGAAAAGCGCTTTTCTGGTAACTATTCAAAATATTTCTCTGTCGGCAAAATCTCTCGCAAAAATTCTCCTCTTTTCTTATTCTCTCTCTTCTTCTCTTTTTCTCGTTATCTTCCTTATCGACTTTGATTAAAACACGAGAATTCCGAGTATATTCTTCTTTTATTTTTTTGATAATTTTTTTCCTTTCTTTTTTCCTTTTTTTCCTTTCTGTTAGGAAAGAAAAAATGAAATTTAAAATTAAAATTCTTGACCAGAAAGAAAACGAGAATATTTCTATAGCGCTTATTTTTATATTTCGGCGCAAAAATATGAATTTTTAAAATTATTATATCTTAAGAGAATCTTTAAGATAATTTCGTTTTGGAATTTTATGATTTTTTTTAAATTTAAAGCACCAGTTCTAGTTACGAAAATGCTTTTAAAAAAAAGCTTTTGTTTAGAGTGTGCGGGAACATTGTTTGTTTATTATAGTTTAATTTTCCTTATTTTCGTTTAATTAACTTGTGTTTCAGAAAAAAATTTGTGTTTTGACAATTATCGAATTGTTCGAAAGAAATTTAAGAAGGGGAATTGGGGAACGCCGTCACCATGGAGATGACGCCCTGGACCATGACGCAGTTTGCGCCTGCTTGTGAAGGATCATCCTCGGATGATGCGATGGTGGCGCTTGTTCGGTGCCACACAAGCATCTCGCGAGAGGGAGAGACCATAGGCGTCGCGGCGGTGTGGACGCCGCCCGTCACCCGGTGCTCTCCTATCGTCATCATCATCTCTCTCTCATCCGTCGTCAAAAAAAGAAAAATTCGTCACGTCCTCTCGTTCGTCGTCTCTTTTTTTTTTGCCGAAACAAAAAAAAATTTTCGGTTCACGTAATCATCGAGTGTCCGTCCCTCGAAATAAGCAAGAAAACGAAAAATCTCGAGGTACTTTTGCGGGAATTGTCAGTGTGTGTCACTTGACAGGGGTGCGTGTGTCAACAAAACAAAAAATGACTTCGAAAAACTAGAAATCGAAAAAGAAGTTCTTCTAAATATTCTAGAAGAAGAAAATCTCGAGGAGAATAGAAAGGTCAGATCGATAGGCTCAACGAACTCGGGGTGCGGCTAATCCCGGCATGTCTGGGGCCCCGATCACCATGGGACCATCAGGAGGTTCAAGAAAATCGGCGGAGATTTCAATAAATCCGCGAAATCTTCCTAATACAATGACACCAGCCGTATACCTTGGGGATAATGAACTTGTGCGCTCCAATCCGGTCACCTATCATCCACAGGTTTGTGCAAAACAATAGTAGTCAATTAGTTGTGAGAAAGTCTCGATGGGAGCGTAGTTTGTTTTGACGTTAGAGGGCATGACACGTTGTCCAATTCTATATTTAGGTGAGACGAGACCGTGACAGCGATTTGCCCTCTCTTGGTGTGGGTTTAAAGTGCCCGCGCACCCTCCAAAGGGTGGGCTCGCCGTTGTGTCAGTAACCCTCGTTTTCTACGAGAGAGCACGAGGAATTCCTGATAGGCATGGCAATTGTTCGTAACCCACTTTCGTAACCCGTGTGAGCTTTAATCAAAAAAGAAGCTATACACGACGATAAAGGGTGGACGTAAGTTTAATTGGAGTACGCTCTGTCCGTATTCCACATTCTTACGCACTCTTTTTTTCAAAAAATATTCTCCTCTTTACAGAATCTCATTACCCTTCAAAATCTCTTTACCCTTCAACAGGATATTTCCGCAATTTTATCCAAAAATGATTCCCAATTTTTTCCCACTTCGTGCAAAATACAAAATTCACTATATAAATAACACGTGTATATTTTTTTTACTAGTAAATTTATTCCACTCAATGTAAATATATGGAAAAGTCAAACATCCAAACTTACCGAATATTTTATAAAAACTACAAAACATTCTCTAATATATTCAAGTATATATTTATGTACATATCTTATATACACTCTGATAGAAATATAAGTTACCGTTTATTCAGAAATTTTTTGTTTTTAGATTCCTTATTTACTATCCAAACTTTATTTACATACATCAATAGATTTTTCCAACAAAAAGTAAAGTTTGGAAATGTATTTCTTTTCTCGATACATCTTTTAATTGAGATCTAATTAAAGAAAATAAAGTTACAAATTAGTCTTGCTACTGACGATGAATGAATTCCGATGGGAAATTGAAGACTAGTAACGGAATTGGGCTAATATTGTGTTACCGTGTAACATCGTTATCATCCCCAACTTCAATTAATATCAATCTAATCTTCTGACGCATCAAATTAGAAAATGCATCGAATATAAATTTACAATTTGGTATTCCAAAAGATACGTAAACGTATCAATAATTTTTCTTCTCTATTTTGGAGAATTGATGATTCTTCTCTGATGCCATCACAAACTCTGATAACTGAAACAAAAAAGCTATTAGTAAATTAATAAATTTGGTTCATTCTTGGGTAATCTATTTTATATTATTATTATTAAATACCTGATGGTAAATCTCAAATATAAGGAAATGATGATTTTTCTCCGCCCTCACAAACTCCAGTAACTGAAACAAAAAAAGAAAAATATTAGTAAATATTCGGTTCATTCTTCCGGTTACTATTTGGGATTACTTTCAAAATAGCTGATATGGTAAACCGCTGATCTAAAGAATTAATAATTTTTTTCTGTCCTCACAGACTGAAATATAAAAAGGAAACTGTAAATATTAGGTTTATTCTTAGGTTATTTTGTTAAAGCAACAAATTACAAAATGCGTCGAATATAAATTTATGATTTGGTATTCCAAAAGATACGTAAACGTATCAATAATTTTTCTTCTCTTTTTCGGAGAACTGTTGATTTCTTCCTGCCATCACAGACACCGGTATCTAAAACAAAAAAAGTAAATACTTCCTTCATTCTTAAGTAATCATTTTTATATTGCTATTGAATAGTTGATGGTTGACCTCAGATCTGCGGAATTGATAATTTTTTTCCCCTTACAAACATCAGTAACCGAAATAAAAAAGAAAAACATTAGTAAATATTTTGTTCTTTCTTATGGAGCCATTTTTCCTGTCGCATCAAATTAGAAAATGCGTCGAATATAAATTTACGATTTGGTATTCCAAAGGATACGTAAACCTATCTAATTTTTTCTTCTCTATTTTTGAGAATTGATGATTCTTCTCTGCCACTACAGACTCTCTAAACTAAAGAAAAAACAAAACTGTAAATAATCAGTTTCTCCTTAAGTTGACATTTATAGGTTACTATCCAAATAGATGATAGTAAAGGTCAGATCTAAAGAATTAATAATTTTTCTCTGCCTACGCGAACTGTAAGAACTGAAACAAAAAAGAAACTATTAATAAATATTCGATTCATTCGTAGGTGGACATTTTTACTAACGTATTTAATTGTAAAATGCGACGAATATAAATTTACGATTTGGTATTCCAAAGGATATGTAAACGTATCAATTATTTTTGTCCTACCTGCACGAAAAGTATGTCATTTCGGGCACTTAAAGTGGGCGCAAAGTAACTGATTCTCGCCCGGGGCCGGGGAAGCGGGCGCAAAAGTTCTTTTACGCCCGCTGACGTCACACAAGCGGGCGCAAAAGTACTTTTACGCCCGCTTCGCTCGTGCCCTGGATGCCATACTTTTCATGCAGTTAGGACAAAAAATTATGTTCACAACATGGGCGCAAAGGTGATTACGACTTTGGCGAGATGAAGGGACCGAGGGGACATTTTCGCGCCCGAGGCGAAGCCGAGGGTGCGAAAGTGTTCCCGAGGTCCCTTCATCTCGCCATCGCCGCAATCACCTATTTTGCGCCCTTGATACGATAATAACTATTTTCTCCTGTTTTGGAGAATTGATGATTTTTCACTTGCATCACAGACTCTGGTAACTGAAACAAAAAAAGAAAACTGTTAATAAACACTCTGTTCATTTTTAGGTTACTATTTTAGGATTACTGTCAAAAAAGCTGCTGGTAGACCGCAGATATGAAGAATTGATGATTTTTCTCTGTCCGCACAGACTCCTGTGTAACTGAAACAAAAAAGAAAAGTATTAGTAAATATTCGGTTCATTCTTAGGGAATAATTTGTAGATTTCTACGGATTTCTATTAAATACCACGTGCTAGATTTTAGACCTTAATTATTTATGCTTTTTCTCTGCCCTCATACTTCAGTACCCAAAAAGTAAACTATTTGTACATATTTAGTTTCTTGTTAGGTATCCATTTTTTCTGAAGCAGCAAATTAGAAAATGCATCGAATATAAATTGACGATTTTGTTTTCCAAAGGATACGTAAACGTATCAATAATTTTTCTTCTCTATTTTGAAGAATTGATGATGTTTCTCTGCCATCATAGACTCCGATAACTGCAACAAAAAAAGAAAACTTTTAGTAAGTAATGCGTTTCGCCTTAGGTTGCCATTTATAGATTACTATAAAAAAGTTCACAGTAGACCAGAGATCCACAGAATTGATGATTTTTCTATGTCCCTGCCGACTCTAGTGACTGAAACAAAAAAGAAAACTATTAGTAAATATTCAGTTTATTCTTTTTGGAGCCATTTCTTTCTAACGCATCGAATTTTAAATGTTGGCGAATGTAAATTTACGATTTGGTATTCCAAAAGATACGTAAACGTATCAATAATTTTTCTTCTCTGTTTTGGAGAATTGATGATTTTTCACTTCCGTCACAGATGTCGGGTAACTGAAACAGAAAAAGAAAACTGTTAGTAACGGTTCATTTTTAGGTTATCTCTATCAAAACAGCTGATAGACCGCAGATGATGGCGTCACTGTCGTCTCGAAACAATTCTATCGATTAGAAACACTAATCGATAAATCAAATATCGATATTTTCTTTTCCAAAAGGACAACTGTCTGTCGCGAACTAATTTACGGTAGAGAATTTATTAGAGTACTGACACCAGCTAACCCACAAGGGAGACTCTTTTCAAAATTTCACAGGTTTTTTCCTTGAAGGTGGATGTGTCGACACAGGTCGACCTCCATGGTGGATCCGTCCACATGGATTGGGATCGTCGTGCAACGCCACTCTATTCAAGGGAGGACATTAAGGAACAATATTGCATTACAAGTAGACAATTGGACGCTGTCGAAAGATCTGGAGGGGGAATATTTGGGTGCCTTACCAATAGAGGACCATCGCCATGCAGTTCAACAAAGGCATCAATTTTATCAGCCTGCGTTCGAAGTGCTCCAAGTGAAGAGAATCTTTGCGATGCTCCATATCCTCGGAAACCATTGCAAATAATGTACGAACAGCCTTATTCAACCTATCCACGTGGTTTAAATCGTTACAGATCAGAGGATGACGATTTAATTGAGAGCTCCTATTTTCGTCGTAGGCCAACCTCCTTCTGCACTGTTCCTGATCCTAAAAGGTATTTTTAAAATTAATTTTATGAAATTGTAAATAAAAACTAAATAAATTAAATGTTAATGTAATTGAAAGGAAAATCGGTAACGAAAATAGGTAGGAAATTGACTCAGGGAGCAAATTTAGATATTTTTGGAAAGCGGAGCATTTGGCTTGGGTAAATAGTTGGTTGCTTGTTTTGAAGAGCAACAACACGACATGATTACTAATACATACCGAACTCGGTAGATTGCGGTTTAGCTCATGGCGTAGTGGTTAGCCAACACTTTTCACTCCTGAGTACTGATTACTCTGAGGTTTTCCTCAAGTTCTTAAAACTTCACCACCTCACACTATTATCGAAATTTTTTTCTTTTTGTTCGTAGCTTTGAAAATTATTTTGCCTTCAATTCCTCTCATTCTATGATAGAAAATAAAATTCCCTAATGAAATCACCTTTATTTTAAACTAAAAACTGTGGACTAAATAAAAAGGACAAAAAGGAATTGACAATAAAAATAAAAAACCAAATACGAAACCGAATACGAAACTAAATTAGAAGAATAAAATATGAAGATTTCAAAAATCGTTTTTGTTTAAGAGTATACGCTATCTCAAATGAGAGGTTTTGTACACGCTGGAGAATGATGGTGCTTTATTTGACTTTCAAAGAAGCCACTTGTCTCTCTAATGACCTCTACTCAAAAAGATGGACCTCTCAATCTCGAGTGAATAATTTCAGCTTCCTTTTTTTCCCCAATCACACTATTATAAATTCCTCTCTTTTTTCTGCAATAAAACTTGTCGATTTAAATTCCATTCAAGAGGGATTAGTTTGTCATTAAAAAAGTGAGGTGTGGGAGCGGGAAGAAAAATGAGACAATCAGCAATTGTCTTTTCCTGTGAATCCAAACACCAGTGGTCGTGTGGCTTTTACATTTCGCAAGATAATGCCAGTCATACGTTGAACTATAGAAACACGAAATAATGGGGGTGTAGAGCGCGAATTCGCGTGTAATAAAAGGTGCAATGAATAGACAGATTGAAGGGATGCTGTGAGTGTTTAAGTTTCCGACAAACAACGCGAAATGTCACATTAATTTTTAAAATAATTACAAATAAAATTATTAACTACATTCGAATCGAATTATAAAAATCCGTAAAAATCATTATTATAGCATTAAATTATTAATAGAATCATTAACTATAATAATTAACCATAATAATCGGATTTGAGAATTTATTCTTTTTCACAAAGACCAGCGACGGCACATTGGCTGCTTTTCATTTATATCAAAGATGCATGGCATTGGACATAGTCGTACCATCCATTGCTATTAATATTTTATCGATTTCATATCTAGTCAACTTTAATGAACATGCTTGATATAATAAAAACGATAATAATGAATACGATAATAATACTTGCGCTAATAATAAAGAGAGAAAAAAAAGCTGGTATTGATGATTATAATGATGATGCGATAATAATAGAGGGTAATTTTTTTTCACATATTACTAAATATAAAATTTTATTTATTTATTTATTTTTTTTTTTTGAAGATACACTTGGGATACGGAGGATGAGGATTTGACGAAATTGGAAGGACCGAGACCTGTCATATCGCCAATTCCACCCTCAATGCAAACCTCATCATTGACAAAAACAAAGCACGTTAGCTTTGCGAGGTCACACACGTTAACGGAAATGCCCAGCACTCGAAGTCCCCCAAGACCTCACAATCAAGAACGACTCATTGACTCTCAACCAACCATGCAAGGATCTGTATGCTCCACGTTGCCCACAGCACATTCCTATCCAATGGCCGAGCCTCGAATACTTGTTCTCGGTAAGTTTTCACGATATAGGAATTATCTAATCGAAAAATTCTTTTCTTAACATTCATAAAAGAAATAATTTAAGAATTTAATGAAATAGAGACGATTTGTTCTTTAAATTGAAGAATTTAAGTTTAATCTTAGCTTTCGTCTCAGATTTTGTCATGGATGATCTGGAAACTGAATGTTTGAAAGAATTGAAAGAAAAAAAGAAAAGCATAATTGTGTCTTCCTGTTCTATTTTAGGTATGTGGATGACACAATCTTATCCGTTAAGAAAGAACATGTTAATTTGGTCATTGATAAATTCTACTTAATTTTAATGTTTTTAATTAGAATGAATATAAATTTCATGAAATAATTTTTTTAACATTATATTATTATATGGTTACTTCAGGGCTCGAACTTGGTCCGTGAATCCCGTAAAGGTCCGTAAATTTAATTCAAGTCCGTAAAAGTCAGATTTTTTAAAAAAAGGTCCGTAACTTGATTAAAAAAGGACAAAAAGTTCGTAAATTGTACGATATAATTTGGAAAATTTTAGAGAAATTACAAATGATTGCAGAAATTCAATTATTTTCAAAAAGTAATAAAATTCTGAGCAGAAATTCAATTATATTCAAAACTTTTTTTAAATTCTTGTCAAAATTTCAATTATCTTTAGAAATAATAAAATTCTTCTTCGAAATTCAATTATTTTCAAAAATTTTAATAAAATTCTAGACAAAAATTTCAATTATTTTCAAAAAATTTTAATAAAATTCTTGGCAAAAATTTCAATTATTTCCAAAAAATTTCCTAAATTTAATGATTTTCAATATCTATTATTTCCATTAAATAATAAAAATTTAACAGAAATTCAATTATTTACAAATTTTTTTTATAAATTTCTTCGCAATATAATTCAATTATTTTTATGTAAATAACATTTTTACAGGGATTTAATTATTTTTAATAACATTTTAATCAAATTTCTCGAAAAATGTAAGTATTCATAAAAATTTTGTTAAAATTCGTCAAAAGAATTCAATTACTTAAAAATTTTTTGATAAAATTCTTTATGAGACTTCAAAAACATTCAAATTTCCAATAAAATATTTTTTGTACTTAAATAATTGAATTCTAGTAGAAACTTATAATAAAAATTGATTTAAAAATGAATTTCAGTTAAAAACAAATAAATTTGAAATTTTTCAAATAACTATTTCAAAAATTAATAAAAATACAGGATTTATGAAAAAATTTTAGTTAACACTAAAAAAAAATTAATTTTGGAGAAGTTAAAACTATATTGCAGAAATTCAATTGTTTTCAAGAGTAATAAAATCCTTCGCAGAAATTTAATTATGTTCAAAAATAGTAAAATTGTGGTCAAAATTTCAATTATCTTTATAAATAATGAAATTCTTCTCCGAAATTGAATTATTTTTAAATATTTTCCCAAAGAACTCGATTATTTTTAAAAAAATTTGATAAAATTTTTTTATAAATTTTTTTTATAAATTTCTTTGCAATAATTCCATTATTTCCAAAAATAGTACAATTTTTTTACACAGATTCAATTATTTTCATAAATAACAATATGCATCACAAGAAGTTAATTATTTTTATAATTAGCAAATTTTTTTGCTAGAATTGAATTATTTTCAAAAATTTTAATAAAATTCTCCGCAATAAATTCAATTATTTTCATAAATATTAAAATTTTTTACAAAAATTCAATTGGTTTTATAAATAATAAAATTATTTTTAGGAATTGAATTATTTTCTGAAAGAATAAAATTCATCGCAGATAACAATAGAAATTCTCCCCATAAATTTAATTATTTTTGGAAATTTTAATAAAATTATTTACAAAGATTCCAATTATCTTTCTAAATAGCAAAAATCTTGGGAAAATGTAATTATTCTTAAAAATTTTATTAAAAATCGTCGAAAGAATTCAATTATTTAAAAATATTTTGGAAAAATTCTTTATATGAAAAATTTGAATTTTAAGAAACAATCAATTATTCAATAAATTATTTATTTTTGTTTATAAATAATTAAATTCAAGTAGAATTTTCAAATAAAAATTGATTGACAAATAAATTACAGTGAAAATTTTAGATAATAATTGAATATTAAAAGCAATATATCGTGAATTTTTAGAAATAATTGAATTTTGAAATTAATTTTTTTGAAAAAGGGTAATTGAATTTTTTTTTAGATTATTTGAAGTTTTTATTATCTAATATATATATTTAATTGAAAAATTACGAATAATTGCAATTTGTAAAATAGAATATTGTTAATAAATGGATTTTGAAAATTGTAGAAGAACTTTTTTGAAAATTAATTGATTTAAAGAAAAATTTTAGTGAAAAATTCTTAAAAATAATAATTGAATTGAAATGATGAAAATAATTTTAAAGAAGTACAATATTCTTGTAATATAAATATAATTATTTTATCAATTTGTCATTTATAACTATTATAAAACATGAAGAAATCAATCACTTCGAGTCGAAGACTCAGAGTTATCGATTTCTTTATGTTTTATAGTTATGAAAAAATTTAATTTATACCTTTAAGTAAAATGTTAAATTCTGTTTAATTAAAAATTATTTAAATTTAGTAGAATTCATGTAGAAACGTTGTAGTGAAATACTATAGAACTTTTTCAGCTGGGTCTTATAATCAAAAACTACAATTTACCGTAGAAAAAGAAAAATACATTAATTTTCTCGATTTAAACCTTTTTAGAAACAATAATAAAATTACAAATTGTTGCCAAAAACAGATTTCATCGGATACTCATCAATTATTTTTCAGATCATCCAATTCAGCATAAAAAGAATATTGTATACAATCTTGTTTCGACAGAGCGATTTCATTGTCCAACAAAAAATTTAGAAATGAAATATTAAAATAAAATATTCACTAGGATAATTATTGTATTTAATCTGAAAATTGGGGAAACGTTTAAAAATGAAATAATTGAATTTATACAATGAAATTGAGGTCTTTAACGTCACATGTAATTCAGTTCCATTAGTGGAGATCGTCTATTTCCTGCGACTTAATTTTCATTCATTAAGTATCCTCATGGAAAGCTAATTTCACTGCTTATATTATACCCGCACATTTCTTGGCACAAATGTTCATAATCTACATTACTAACTAATCTCCATATGCGAAGGAAATAGTGGCAAATGAAAAGGCAGTGCTTCCTTGAATATTTTAGAATAAAGAACGTCCGTTTATATTCATTAGCGTTAAAAAAATAGTTTAATTCCATTTGAATTCAACTCTTATTTACCAACCACATGGTAAATTAAGATCACTTAAATTAGAAAATATAATTTATTTCCTCTTATTTTACAACTTTTTTCCAACATTTCTATTTTTACAACATTTTTTTTCTATTACTTCTTCTATTTGTTTTTATTTCTTATTTCCTGTTTCTTCTTCGTTTTTTATCACTTCTTCTTTTTTATTTTCCACTTCCTTTATTTCTTCTTCTTTTTATTTATCACTTCTTCTTTTTCTTTTATTTATTTCTTCTTCTTATTTCTTCTTCATTTAATTTTTTTTGTACTTTGTCTATTACTTCTTCTTTGATAATACTGAAAATTCTTTTAAAAATTTTTTTTTTTAAATTCTTTTAAACATCAGAAAAATTTGTTTTTCTGATAATATTTAGAAAAACAGCCAAAACGAGGAGCAATGAAAGCGCAAGCAACGCAAACTGATGTTCCTACGGGTTTTCGGCGAATTCCACCGGTGACATTGAGCCCAAGGACAATTCATCGTGTTAAAATGGTGTCGCAAGGAGCGCAAACCAATGGCATTTGTAATGGAAGAAAACTCACTAAGAGCTATTCAGAAGCCGGTCATTTTGGTTCGCCATTGGGTCATATGAAAGAGGAGGGGGATCATGAACCTCTTCAGAGGACACAAAGCGAAGAACCACCAAGATCACCATTCATGGTCGACACCCCACCTCACTCACCTCAAACCATTAAGGAACAATTTCAAAACGGCGACATCAGCAAAGTACGTTTATTTATTATTATTATTTGAGTAAATAATTTTTCTCGAACGCCTGCTCTGAAAGGAGTACTTTTTTTTATTAGAAAAGCGGGGTGAAAGTGGAACTTTTTTTTAACTGCTCTGAACAAATTTTGCTCACTAGTTGCACAATGTATTATTTCATCACAATCCAATTGATTGACTTTGCCCATATTTTTTGGCAAAGTAAAAAATTAATTAATTATTGAAATAACAACCGGAATTTTATTTATTAAAAAAATTAATATTATTAAACTACTTTTAACAAAATGGACTCGAGTCCATCTATATTACATAAATACTAATAAATAAAACAAACTTTTAAAATGTTAGAAGTAGAAATTTTATTATATTATTTATTATTATTTATTATTATTTATAATCTTTATTTTAAAATTAAATTTGTGAATTATTAAGAAACAAAAACCCCTAAGGATATATAGTATTCAGAGTATATCTTAAAATAGAGGAAATATTTTTGTTCTTATATCGATTATAAAGAGGCGTTCTCAACGAGCAAAACTACAGGAAAACCATTACCAACTTTTTCAACAAAAGGAGACAAAAGAATTTTACAAAAAAAAAAGAAAAAAAAAATGCAGAATTTACTCTTGTGAATCTCGCCAATTCTACAATGCGCTTTTATACCATTAAATGTAATTTTAAACGACTTTTCAAAAAGCGTAAATTTTAATTTAATTTTTATTTTAGTTTAAAAATTTAAATTTAAATTTAAAACAAAGTTTTACTAAATTAAGATTCAAAATTATGTTTGCCTTTTGTTTTAGAAAAGCTAATATTTTAAATAAAAAAGGAATATGCATATGAGGGAAATATAAAGCAAACTACCGGGAGCAAAATGCAAAGATCAAAGTCCAGTAACATTGGAGTGCGCCAGACTGAACCTCAGGCGATTTTACATTCACTAAATTTTAGTACTTTGTTGAGGAAACAAAAAATTTATCAAGAAGATAAATATTTTCATAACCGGATTTTATAATAAGGGAATAATTATATTAAGTTTCCGATTTTTTGTTATTCATTCCCTGCAATCTTGCTGATGAGTAATTAATGTAGTAATAAAAAATATCTATTCAATTCATTATCTGATTTAATATCAATTTTTAATTCTATAAAATTTAATAATTCAGTCGAATCTAGTTAATTTTGTTATGAATCACTTACAGTTATAATCACTTTAAAAATGAAGTAATTTCGTTAATTTTTTAAATTTACCGTGAAAGAAAAATTGAGTTTCGGAATTAATACTGAATAGAATATTTTGTTGAATTGAAAATTTAGAAAAATGTTTTCGATTACTTTCATTGTAGGGTCATTTTGATTTGGACGATCAGGAGATTTTGATTGACTTCAAACCGGCGCCAGTGTCGCCCGACGCTAGGGCAATGTTGGACCGGATATCGAAACCAATTCGTCGATTTATACCACTTCAGAAAACATTATCGGATGGGGAAATAAGAGTGGAAAGGAGGGAATTAATTGGCGAAACTGGTGAGCCAAGTTATCCGCACACATGTCGAAGAAATCATGAGGATCCCTGGAATCGAAATATTCGCGCTCATGTCCAATTCTCATCGACTCCGGACGATCTTTCATTTCTGAGGGTTTCTTCGCCGCAAGACGATCCGTTGGAAGAGGTACATTCAATCTTTATTCAATTTTTCAACTCTATATTCACTTTGAGAATTTGCATTTTAATTTTTATTTAAATTTTCATTTGAAAAGTTTCATTATTAAATTCGAAAAAAAAATAAATTGAAATTGTTCCAACTAGGAATTTCATGAAAACATTATTCGACGGGGTCTTTTTCGCAAGAGGAGTGTTTCCCTCGAGGATGGTGTTCAAGGTATTTGCAGTAGTGAGATTCTGTTTCCTAGATCTCTTCCCACTTCGCCCACTTCTCCTACTGTAATTCCAGGTAAAGAAAAATTAGCTTTTCTATTTCATCAAATAGTTGACAATAATTCTGATGATTTTGCATAATTACCAAGGATTTTCTTCACTTTATTTGCAGCGCCTAGTAGAGTCATTCAGATATCTAGGGAGGAAACGTCGAATCGAAATTTCCTACGCACTGGAAGAGTTGGATTGCTGTCTCCATTTGCATCGAGTGATTCACTGGCCAACGATGGAACCAGAGATCACAGTGATGGGATTTGGAATGAATCGCAAGCGACTGTACTTCAGGCGGATTCTCTGTCTTTATTAACGCCATCTTCGAGGAGAAGGCATCTTTTGCTACTTCAACATCAACAGCGATCTTCAATGGACACCGAGGCTCTTGATGTTGAGGACGATCTTGATCTCTCGCCATCCAGTCCGCGAATTCGTCTCGAAGCTGCTACGCCCATTACCTTGACGCCGAGGTTAGTTATAATCTTTGCTAAATTTCAATTTAAAGGGACATTATCTTCTAATTTAACCCTCTGCTGATGCTAACTTATCCTTACTCTATCGCCAAAGAACGTAAATCCGATAGTCCACACCAGGCGACCAAATTGACGATTGACGATTTTTGACGATAACGGTCTTTAGCATCAGCAGAAAGTTAAAGATCCTGTTACAATGAGGGACGCGTCATCGCTATGATTTCTGACCAATAGCGACTGTCATCATGGAATTTCAGTCAATCAATTTCAACCAATCGCTTGTTCTAGTTATACTGTTTGAAAATTCAGCCCAAATTTTTCTGAGGAAAATCAGAGTTATAATCAATAATCAAAAAATTTCACTACTCTTTCGTCGTCAGGAATAATTGCCATTAAATTATCAACAACAAAATTTGTCACCACCGTGGTCAGAACCTGTATTCTTAATTTTATTTCAGCATCGAAGCATCAGCTTTACTAACCAACGGAAGACCAAAGAGTGGTTCACTATGGCGAAGTCCTGGTCTATATTCGCAAACCCATTCACAGTCATCGAGTGAATTTGGACTGAGTCTTGCGAGAACTGATTCGGGTGGACGAACTGACGTCTCGGAGACGTCAACAACTGACGACTACATCACTGCCAATACGTCGACGGGAACAGGGACCACTGGAACTGGAACATCAGCGACAACAAGCTCCTGGTCCAGACCACCACTTTTACCCTCTAACGCTGCGCCATCAGTAGCGTCGACAACCGCCACTGCTGCTGATGGCAGTTCATTCGAAAGTGCCAGCTCCATATACAGTTTAGCTAGAAGCGAGGTATATGTCTTGGAGAAACTTTACAATCTTCTCCCTATGGGGGAAAAGTTTTTGGGTGAGTTGCTGTATCAGTTTTGGTGGCCTGTGCTTAACTTTGGTTTATCCATAATTTTGGCAGAGAAGTTCACCCACTGGGAGTGCAATTCACCCAAAAACTTTTCCGCTTATAAATCGTTTCTGTAGAAAAATAAACCTTTCTAAAATTCTGACTTCATTAGACTCAAAGTTCTATTTATAAAACTTTCTAAAGTTGGTAGTTTTTATTCTAAAGTTTGATAGAGAAATAATTTACAAAAATCTACCATATTCTAGGCTGTAGTTGAAGAACCAAGTAGTCCACAGCCAATTAAAGAAGAAATGTTAGCTGCGGAACAACCACCCTCTCCAACAAGGTCAACTACGAGTAGCAGTTCGGGAAGTTATGACCTAGAGGACACGGCAGTTGTACAAGAACCCCTTCCCACTGCTTCCTTGAGTGGTCACACCTCTGAAGTCGAATTAGACCGCGAGGTAATTTATTCAGTAATGAATCAAACAACCTTAAAAATACAGTAACAGTAATAATGATGATCAATTAATCTGTAAAATTCTCCAAAAACAACTTTAGGAAGGTCAACGATCGTCTTCAGGTGGCTATGCAGAATCACCACCGGATCTGCATATGTGGACAGAGGAGGAGCGAAGAAAAAGAAGGAAGACCTTCACTCTTGATTTTCCCGGTGAAATTGATTCTGAGCGTGCAACTGAAATTTTATTGGATAATATGGACGTGAGTCCAACGCCAAGTCATCGACACAGATCGCGTACAAAGCCATTATCGACAAAAAGTCCGCATAGAAATAATAAACGAAGGGATTCACTTCAACAGCAAATAATTCGTAGTCCCCAGAAGGAGGAGTGGAGAGAGCAAACTGAGGACGGTGGACATGGACAAACATCCGATGATTCAAGTTGCAGTCATCATTATCATCACGTTCATCATCACCATCATCATCGGCATAGAGAGAGTGGCGATGGCACACATCATCGACGAACCAGAGAGAGTCCACGACGTAAAACTGGAAATTACGTTTCGTCAAGAAGAAGGAGTAATGAGGTAATTTTATTTTTGACAATTGAGGTTAAGCGCACAATTTCTTTCTCTCTTTTCTTGATAATTATTTTGAAACAAAAGTAGCAGCGACGCCAAAAACCTGCTACCAAGTTTTATCACCTAGGCACCCAGGCCTTTCGTTTTCAATAACGTTTGGTCTTTTTTTGAGAACCAGGTTATTTAATATTTGATTAACCGCAAAGTATTTGTTTCATAAATAAAAGTTTTAAATGAAAACAAAATTTTTTTCACTTGCGTAGGATAAGAATGCGGCGATAACGGGTAGTTTACCGAGGAGGAGATCCCGTGCGTTGGACGATATTTGCTCGACAAGATTGAGTCCTGGACGTTATCAAAGAAGTCCCGGACATAATGGACACACGACAGTCATTGTCAAATCACCGAGTCCAGAGGCAAGACTAAAGGCTGTTTCCGCTGAATCCTTGAGATCAGTCAGTCCCGGAAGTGATAGCGTTTTCTACAGTGAGGGAATTGATCAACTTTTAGATACACCACACTGTTATCATTGTGGACGTGAGGTAAGTTTCACCCCAAACTTTCGGTTAATTTTTGTTTTTAATTTAGTAACAGGAACCAAAGAATAAACGTAATGAAATTATACTGTATTTAGCAAATTTGTATTTACGTTACGACGATAGGTAAATACAAATAATTATCTAAGAAAATAAATACAATCAGTGACTGACGAAACCGCTGCAACGCAACGAACAGATGAGAATGAATAAATTCACTGCGGAGTCTCTGTATTTATACTCTGAAATCCCCACTCCTACCTTTAGCGCATGCGCATTGAATCTCACACGTTGTGCTACTGTACACTCTAAAATCTCTTGCTAAATAATTTTTTTAACAACAGATAACATTTTATAAACCGAAATAATAATCTTCTACGACGAAAAAAGGGAAATAACAAAGTTTTTTTGCGAACACCTTCAAAGTGATTAAAAAATGACAATTTTAAATAAATTTAAAAACGGAAAATCCACTCGAGTAGATAATACTTTTGTGCCCGTATTCAAGAGGGAAAAAATGCGGCAGAAAAAAAGAAATCTTTTGAAATCAAAAATGCTTTTAAATTATCTAAACAATTATAAAGTTACAATTGAATTTTGACATTGAAAGAAAAAATACATTTTTATTTTTCCTTCGCCTCAAAGGTTGCGGAAGATATTGTCCAACCACCGGCAGGTTTCGCGGATTCTCCGGACAGTCATAGAACAACTCCAAAGCACACAACTCCAAGACTTTATAAAAAATTCGATAAAAGATATCGTTCGGAGGATCGGGGCGACAGGAGGCATCATAGAAGCACTGGGGGAAGATCGGACGTGAGGGCAAAATCAGAAGAACGAGGAGGAAGACCGAGTAGTCGAGGATCAGTGGAAGATGGTTTAAAAAGAAGGCTTCAAGCTAGAAGTACAGATGCGAGTTTGGAAATTTTAACAGGTATGATATTTTTTATTGATACAAATTAAACTTCTTTTTATTTTATACTTCTTTTTATTCTTCTTATTCTCATTTTTTTTATTTCTCGTTTTTTATTTTTTGCTTCCTCATAGAGATTGTATTTTTTCTCTCTTTATTTTATTCCAAACTTCGCACTCGATAATTATTTTTTAAAAAAGTAGCTATTGAACTAAAAAAAGTAGTAAAAAATTAGCTATCGAAAAATTAAACTTGACGACCAAAAAAACACTTTACAAAACTGACAAAAATTCCATTCTAGATTTTGTTTTCCTGACTTTTTCCTTATTTGTATCAAAAGTATTTACTTTTTTCTTATCTTCCGAATAAATTGAATTCCTGCAACGAATTTTATTATTCATGAAAGAATTTAAATATTTATAAAAATAATTTAATTCTTGCGAAGAAATATATGAAAATGTTTAAATAATTGATTTCTTTCGAGTAATTTTATTCAAATTCTAATTTAAATAATTGAATTATTAGGAAATTTTTATTATTCAAGAAAAGAATTGAATTCTTACGAAGGTTTTACAAAAAAATTTTTAAATAATGGAATTTTGTTTAAGAAATTTTATGAAAATAGTAGATATTGAAAATTATTGAATTGCGAAAAGTTTTTAGAAATAATTAAATTTTACAATGAACTCTATTAAAATTTATGAACAATTTCATTGGAATTTTTTTAAATAATTTAATTTCCAAGAAAAAATTTATTACTTTTAAAAATAATTCAATTCATGTGATAAATATTGTTATTTATAAAAAATAATTGAATTTTGCAATGAATTTTATTAAAATTTTTGACAATAATTTAATGTCTGTGTGGTATTTTATTAAATTTTTTTTTAAATAATGGAATTCTTGTGATGATTATTGTTATTTATGAAAATAATTGAATTTTGCAAAGAATTTTATTAAAATGCCTCAAAATAATTGAATTTTCGAAGATAATTTTGTTATTTATTGTTATTTATCGACATAATTGAATTCTTGGGAAGAAATTTATTAAAGTCTAAAAGAACAATTGAATTATTACAAAAAAATTTAAATAAAATTGTATTTAAACTATTAGATTTCTTTTGAACAAATTTATTATAATATTTGAAAATAATTAAATTCCTGTAAAAAATCCTAATATTTTTGTAAATAATTGAATTCTTCCAAAGAATTAAAAAAATATTTTTCTCCTTAATAATTGATTTTTTCGAGGAATTGAAATTAAATTTTTAAGAATAATTACATTGTTTAGCAATTCCTGGAAAATTGAATTCTTGTGATGAATATTTTTATTTATGAAAATAATTGAATTTTACAAAGAATTTTATTAAAATGTCTAAAAATAATTGAATTTTTGAGAATAATTTGTTATTTATCTTTAATAATTGAATTTATTCGAAGAATTAAAAATAATTGAAATTCTGCAATAAATTTGATTTTTTATGATGATAATTGAATTCTTGTAAAGAATTTTATTAAAGTTTTCAAAAATAATTGAATTCTTGAGAAAAAGTTTATTATTTATAAAAATAATAGAATTATTGCGAAAAATTTTATTAAAATGTTTCAAAAGAATTGAATTTCTGTGAAAAATTTTTTAATTTTTAAAAATAATTGAATTCTTCATAAAAATTGTGTAAATATTGTTTTAAATAATTAATTTTTTCGAAATATAAGAAATATTATGAAAATTTTATTTTAAATTATTGAATTCTTGTGGACAATTTTATTTTTGAAAATAATTGAATTTTTCGATTAATTAATTTAAAATAGTATTAAAAATAATTAAAATTCTTCCATGAGTTTTATTAATTATAAAAATAATTGAATTCTTGCTTAGAATTTTATCAAAAATTTTTTTAAATAATTGAATTTTCATGGAAAATGTTATTTTTAGTGAAAGTAATTGAATTATTGTGAAAAATATAACAATTTTGTTAAATAATTGATTTTTTCGAAATTTTTTTGCAAATGCTATTCTAAATTAATTGAATTCCGGTGAAAATTTGATTATTCATGAAAATAATTGAATTTTGGATGAATTTAATCACTTTTTTAAATAATTGAATTCTTTTTCAAAATTTTATGAAAATACTAGATATTGAAAATAATTGAATTTCGAATATTTTTTGAAAATAATTGAATCGTTTTAAAGGAATTTGATTATAATTTTTAATAATAGTTTTTTTATTTCTGGTATTAGTGAATTTAATGTAGTGGAAAATCTAAAAAAAACAGAAATAGTAGCTTTTAGTGGCTAAAATCTCAAAAAAGTTCCCAAATAGTAGCATAACGTAACAAAAAGTAGTAAATAGTAGATTTTAGTAGATGAGTGCAAAGCCTGTTATTCTCCTTTTCATTCTTCTTTATTATCATTTTTTTATTTCTTCTGTTTTTTCTTTTTTGCTTCCTTAAAGTGATTGTATTTTTTTCTCATTTTATTTTATTCTCCTTTTTATTCTCATTCTTTTTATTTCCTCATTTTTTTCTTTTTTGCTTCCTTATAGAGAAATAATTGTATTTTTGTTTTTTCTTTATTTTATTCTCCTTTTTATTCTTCTAATTCTCATTCTTTTTATTTCCTCAGTTTTTTCTCTTTTGCTTCCTCATAGAGGAATAATTGAATTTTTGTTTTTTCTTTATTTTATACTCTCCTTTTTATTCTTCTTCTTATTCCGATTCTTGTTATTTCTCCTATTTTTCTATTCTATTTTTATGTTTTCTTCTATTTTTTTCTAGGTCGAGAGGACGAGGGCACTTACATCGAGCCCTATACAAGTGGAGAGTGGATTTATATCGGTGATCTTCAGGAGAGTTTTGCGTGGAAGAGACCCGACAGTAGGGACGACGACGATTTTCCAGAATATTATGCGAAAGAGCGAAGGAACTCTCAAGAATCAACTGGAAGTGAAAAGTGCTTCAAAAAAAAGTACGAAGCCGCCACTCGACGAATGGTCCACAGAAAGACGAGCATTGAAATGTACAAGAGAATCCAACGCAAAAATTTCGGTGAGTAAATAAACTAATAATTAATCACTAATTTTAATTACTATTAATTAATAATATTTCACCGTCTTTTTCACGGTAACGTTAATTACCATTTCGATAATTAGTACTCGAGTAAAAAATATTTCTTTCAATCTCCGTTGTGAAGTTACAACTTCCGATGAATGATGGGAATTTTTTTCTCACTATTTCTAAAAGACGCCCACCAGAGGAGAATTTATTTTTCTTCCACATATTCCCTCGTGTCTTCAAATGGAATTTAGCTCGTAAGTTTTTGTAACGTTTCAAACTCGGTGATAAAATTAGCGCTGAGAAATAAACCTTCTCGATAATTTGCTCACCAAAATTAAACAAACGCAGGGAGAGGGAAAAAAATTTACAAACTGCATGACGAATCGCAAAATTCGTGAACACTGACTTAGTATTTATAAAATTATCTTTCCTGCGAGAGAAACCAGAAGAATTTGCTTTTTTTACTTTGTTATTTTCAACTGTGGGGCAAAATTTCGAATAGTCAAATTTGTTGGGTGTATTTTTTTGTTAGGATTTTTTTTTCTGGTATTAAAAATAGTTTATTTTTGAGATTTCATTTTTTTGATTGCTTCCCCAAATTCGAAGATTAATAAAATCCACAGTTTTTTAACGGATATCAAATTGACACAAAAAACGAATCAAAATAAAGTTTTATATTATTAATGAAAATAATTGGAAAATTGAATTCTTGAGAAGAATTTCTTTCAATTTTTTGAATATAATTGAAATCCTGCGAAGAATTCAATAATTTGTGAACTAAATTGAATTCTTGACAAGAATTTTTCTTTTCAAATATTTTCAATTTTAAAATTAATGTATTAAAAATCATTGAATTCTTGCAAAGAATTTTGTCAAAAAAATTTGAGAAGAATTGAATTCCTTCGCAGAATTTTATTATTTATAAAAATAATCGATTTCTCGAGAAAAATTCTATTAAAATTTTTAAAAATCATAATTAAATTATTTTGAAGAATTTCTTTGAATTTTTGTGTACTAAATAATAGAGTTTCTTTAAAAATTTTAATTGAAAATTGTGAAAGTAATTTAATTTTATGAACAATTTCTTTCAAGTTTTTAAAATAATCGTGTTTCTTAATAATTTAAATTGAACATTTAATTATTGAATTTTTACAAAATTTTTAGAAAATAGAAAGTAATTAAATTCTTTTCATAATTTTATTACAATTTTATAAAATAATTTAATTCATTCAAAGAATTTTATTAAAATTTAGAAAATAATTAAATTATTTCAAAGAATAGACACTATTAAAGGTTTTTATCAGAGTTTTTGTAAATAATTAAATTCTTTTAAAGAATTTCTTTGTATGTTTTTAAACAACTTAGTTTTTTGAATAATTTCAGTTGAAAATTTTGAAAATAATTGAATTAAATAAAGAATTTTTTATACTTTTTAAAATAATTTTTGCGATGAATTTTACTTCAAAATGATTGCTTGACAAGAATTAATTTCAAATTTTTGAAAATAATTAAAATCCTCCAAAGAATTTTATTATTAATGAAAATAATTAAAATCTTCCGAAGAATTTTATTATTTATGAAAAAATTCAATTCTTGAGAAGAATTTTATTAAAATTTTTGAAAATATTATTAATGGAAAAATTGAATTCTTGACAAGAATTTGTTTCAAATTTTTGAAAATAATTGAAATTCTACGAAAAATTTTATTATGAATGAAAATAATTGAAATCTTCAACAGAATTTTATTTCTTATGATAATAATTGAATTCTTGTTAAGAATTTTATTAAAGTTTTTGAAAATAATTGAAATCCTCCGAAGAATTTTATTATTTATGTAAATAAATGAAATCCTGCAAAGATTTTTATTACATTTTTTTAAAAATAATATAATTGTTTCGATCAAAATTTAAATTCTTTTTAGGAATTTAGTTAAGATTGTATTGAAAATAATTAAATATTTAGGAAGAAATTTATTAAAATTTTGGAAAATAATTGAATTCTTTTGGAAAATTTTATAACGAATTAAGAAAAAAATTGAATTCTTTCGTGAAATTTTATTGATAATGTAGAAAATAATCATCCTGTACTTTGTATTGAAATACTTATTTGAAATTGGCGGTAATCGTTCGTAGCGCCATCGATCAATAATGCGGATGCATTATTGATTACCATAGTCTTTTTAGGTTAGAATATAGAAATTGACACGACGCGCTGCAACATTGTTTTTGTAAGACGCTTATCAAAGAATTGTATTTTGTAACTTTCAACAATTATTATTATTAAATTCATATATTTCAAAGTATTTGTGTTATCACTATTATAAATCCTACAAAATTGGTGTCAGAAGTGGGATAGTGATAATTATCCTTTGAAAAAGAAAACGACGCGAAGACGGAACAAGCAGCTCAAAACGACGCTATCAGATTTTAACGTATTTGGAGAATAAGCTAAGCAGTTACGTGATCAACGACGCCGAGATTGAAAAGACGATCATTCTCGAGATCTAAAGACGAAGGAAGTAGCAGGTAGCTGTTCTCTGAAACCAAGACGATAAAGTTTCAAAGACGGAAGATTTTTCGAAGACGAAGGCGACAAAATTCTAAGACGAAAGCGACGAGATTATCAACAATCATATTCCAAGACGAGATTCTCCACAACCAGAAGCAGATATTTGCCAGAAACGAAGTAAATTCCAATTCCAACCGAGGACGACAACGTATGGTATGTTTATCTCAACATCGGAAAATTAAAGGAAATCAACGTTCAAGTAAGGTCATTGTGTAAACCCCGAAACAACAGATCGCAGTGTCATCACGTATTTGATAAGTATAATTCTATTTATGACTTTGTATTTATTTTATTGAGATCAATCTTATTGTAAAATTAAAAATGGAAAAATTAGTTCAAATTAAGAATATCGAAAAACAATTAAAAGTGGCTTCTCGTAGCGCAATAAGTGCACTTTATAGGTTAGTTTTTCAAGAAGAAGGAGACCGCAAAAATAGAAGTAAATTGCGTGAGTTTTCTGGGTTCACATTTTCCGACGATTCACCTGAATTCCATGATAAAGTAGATTATGCTAGTACGTTTTCTGTAGGAGATTTGACATCTATTTGCAACATTTTGGGGTTAGATTATTCTTCAAGCAAAGAGCAGCTTAGGCAAAATATTATTCGTGCACTAATGGATATTAATTCGTTGGCAGGGCACAATTCCGAAGACGATACAGATCGCGATGGAGATGACGATGACGAGAACGGGCAATTTGCAGGCGGTGGCGGGCAAAATGACGAAAATACCGGACGCGATAATAATTCCGAAACAGACGAAGGGAACCATAGTTCTGAAAATGAAGTAGATCGGGAAATAGACGTAAATAATGCAGAAACACAAAGAAACCCTCATGTAAGTAATACTCGACGAGCGCAACCTGTCAATTTTTCCCTGGGGTTTAAAGACGTCGAAGATTCGATTCGTGAGTTTGACGGTGGTGATAGTTTATCAGTGGAACGTTGGGTAGCTGAATTCGAAGACGCGGCATTATTATTCGAGTGGTCTGATTTACAAAAAGTTGTTTTTGCCAAAAGGTCAATTAAGGGGTTAGCGAAACTTTTTATTCAGGGTGAATCAGGATTGGTCACATGGAAAAAGTTAAAGACGGCTTTACTAAAAGAATTCTCGACAAAATTATCTAGCACTAAATTACATTCTATGCTTGCTAAAAGAAAAATTAAAGATTCCGAATCAGTTCAAGAATATTTTTTGGTTATGCGCGAATTAGCTTCACGAGGTAAAATAGAGTGCGAGGCTCTAATCGAACATGTAATCGAAGGATTGGGAGATGATCCCAATAATAAAGCCATTTTATATGATGCCCAAAATTTAGACGAGTTTAAGATTAAATTAAAGACGTACGAAAAAATTAGAAAATCTAATATGAAATCAAACACACAGTTAAGTAAGAAAAAAGACGTACCAATGGACGATAAAAAGACTGACAGTGCGAAAAATAAAACGACGCGATGTTTTAACTGTGGGAAATCGGGGCACATTTCTAGAGAGTGTAAAAGTCGAGAGAAGGGTACTAAATGTTTTAAATGCAATAAGTTCGGGCATATAGCGTCAAATTGCAAAGGTGCAAAAACATCTAGTCCATCGAATACGGAAAACAGGATAGATTTTGTTTATTCTGAAAAAGAAAATTCGTGTTATAAAGAAGTAGTCGTAGAAGGTGAAACCCTGAAAGCTCTCGTTGATACCGGCAGTGCTTTAAGCTTAATACGCGAAGACGTTTTCGAAAAATTTAAATTAATTAATTTAAGAGACTCGAAATGTAAAGCAGTAGGTTTCGGCGGCGGCAAAGTAGAGACTAAGGGATCTTTTCAAGCAGAGACTTTTATCGACAATGAAGCGTATAATTTGGATTTTGATGTAGTGTCAGTAGATTCTATGCCTATGAAATGTATTATTGGCCGTAATATATTGCCGTTAGCAGAAGTTCGAGTCGATAAAAATGGCGTTAAAATTATAAAATGCGAACAAAATGTATTTTTGGGAAATATAACTTTAACAGAAAAAATTGAAATCGACGTTGGTCCTCTCGATGATGATTCTATTTGTAAACAAGCGGAAATTCTTTTAATAAGTTATAAACCGAATAAAACTAAGACTACCGAAATTGTATTAACTATAAATTTAAATGACGACAAGCCGATTTATTCTAGTCCAAGACGTTTACCTATTGTTGAGCGTGACGTAGTAGATGATCAAGTTGAAGTGTGGGAAAAGGCTAAAATTATCAAACCAATTAATTGTGGCTACGCAAGCCCTATAGTACTAACTAAAAAGAAAGACGGCACATATCGAGTTTGTGTCGATTACCGACGAATTAATAAAGTTATTATAAAAGATAAATATCCTATTCCGTTAATAGAAGATTTAATTGATGCCTTAAAAGATTCGAAAATATTTAGTACGTTGGATTTGAAAAA